TATCTTCACCAAAATCAAATTATTCATAGAGATGTTAAAGGTGAAAACTTATTAATTTTCTCATTAAATCCACAATCACCTGTTTGTGCTAAATTAACTGATTTCGGTACTTGTAGAAATATTTCTGAAAGAAGTTTGAGTGTTAAAGAATTATCACAAGGTATTGGAACACCTACTTATATGCCACCAGAATGCCTTAATAATTCTAGTGATTATTCATATCCAGTTGATGTATATGCTTATGGTATGGTGTTATATGAAACTTATATTGAAAAGAATGCATATGATGGAGATGAAAGATTTAATCAACCATGGATGATTCCACAATTTGTTATTGAAGGTAATAGATTAGAAAAACCTGATGGTATTCCAGAAAATTATTGGGAATTGACAACTAAATGTTGGTCCCAAAACCCAGAAGACAGACCTACATTTATTGATATCTTAAAAACTATTGAGTCTTGGGGTGAAGATATTAAATATGCTTTTAATGTTGAAAGCTACAAAAAAGAAATGGGAGATAATGTTCCATCTAATGTCAATGACTCAACACCATCTAATAACCCTGTTTCACAAGTTGCTGAAGGTGAACAAAAACCAAAGAGTGAATCTGTTTCTCATAGTTCAAGTGATGAGAATTAAGTAGCCAATTAATCTTTCTAAGTTAATTGAAAATTCTTTTTTAAAAGTAAAGTTTTATAAATAAAATAAGAATTTGAAATTTTCAAATATTTTTTTATTTCTCATTTAAAAAACTTTATACTCTTTTTTTGAAATTACTATCTGTCATATGTTAAATCTATGTTAATTCTAAGTACTTACCAATTATTTCTAAAATAGTTGGTAATTTTTGTATAACCAATGACAATTTTATAATTAATATTGTCATTAATTTGTATTGTACTTTTATCATTTAACTAAATCACTTCTTTTTGATATTTTTTTATTTTGTATTGATGATATTATTTAAATAAGTAGTAAAAATATTTTAATATTTTAACTGAAATAACTTGTTCTTATTTGTATTCTTTTGATAAAGTTATGGTTTTTTTGCAAATAACTCATTAATTTTATAAAAGTCTTATCGTTTTTCATTAAAATGGTTTTTTTTAAAAAAGTTATTTTTTACTAGTTTAAAAGATAAATTAACTGGGAATGAAAAATGAATTAAACATTTATTTTTTCTTCTTTTGTGAACTACTTTGTTTATTTGTTTGTCTTCTCTTTGGAGAGGGTCTTGGTCTGGTATTTCTTTTTGTTGTTTGTCTTCTTTTTGGTTTATTATTTCGTTTGGATGTTGGTGACTTTTTTGACTTATTATTTCTTTTTGATACTGACAATTTTTTTGGTTTAGTATTTCTTTTTGATGTCGATGACTTTCTTGATTTGGTGTTTCTTTTTGGTGTTGATGATTTTCTTTTAGAATTACTTTGTGGACTAACTTTTTTTGATTTAGATTTATTTGATTTAGATTTATTTGATTTAGATTTATTTGATTTAGATTTCTTGTCCTTATCTAATCCAAGGACTTTTTTCCCTTTATTAATTGTATCTTTTCCTTTTTTATACATATCTTTTCCTTTCTGTACTTTTTCTTTAATTTTATCAATACTGAGTACTCCAGTAGAAGGATCAACTCCCATAGCATCTCCAAGTTTACTAGTTACTTTATCTTTAACTTTGTCAACACCTTCTTCTATTTTATTTTGCATAAAATCTTTAGCCTTATTGCCAAGCCATTCAGACGCACCTTTTCCAATATATTTAGACGCTTTTCCTAATCCTTTATCAATTAACTTTCCTGCGCCAGACATTAACTTTCCTCCAAATTTACCAGCAACCTTTCCTGCTAAATTACCTGCTTCATTTGCAATGAACTTCTTTCCTTCATCTTTTAATTTTTCCCATGCCTTTCCAGCGGCTCGTTTCATTCTTTCTTCTGGTGTTCCACCTCCATTTTGATAATTTTTAGAGAATTCTGTAACAGCTCTGGTTGCACCTGCAGCAGCATGTGCACCAACTTCGACTCCTTTAAGAACACCTGCAGCTGTTTTTAGTCCTCCAGCAATAGTTACTCCAACTGGGCCAAATGCTGGTCCAACAGTTGCTGCCACATTAGAAAGTGGACCAACAATCTTGTCTCCAACAAATCCGGCAACATCTCCCACTTTGTCAAGTACTTTTGAAATTTTTTCTCCGTTTTCTGCCATAAATTTGGTTCCCTTTTCAACTACTTTTATTGCTGTTTCTTTGACAGCATTGACAGCGTCTCCTGCTATCTTCTTAGCTCCATTCCACAAATCACCGAAGAATCCTTCATCTTCTAGCATAAAATCACTTACCTCAAATAGATTCATAAATGCATCAAGAGCTTCTTCATCTTTTTCTTCATCAAAATAACTTGAAATGTCTACTTGATATTCTATTTCTGAAAATAATTCAAAGTCATCAAAGGTATAAAGCTCTGCTGAAGCAAAAGAAATGATACAAGATAAGTAAATTAATATCACTATCTTACTCATTAATATATATATTTATTTTAGTTCTTTGCTTTAAACAATTTAAGGCTTTAATGTCTTATTTTTTGTGTTTACTTTGATGGTGTTAATTATTCTTTCATTGATTTTAGTATAAACCTTTTTTGGATTTTGTCTTATGTTATTAGTCATTTGTTTTTTTTTGGGTCCTTTTTTATGTTCTTTTATCTTCTTCTCTGATGTCATCTGAGTTATTCTCCAATCCCGTGATACAAAAAGATTTTATCTTTTTATTTTCTTTAAATCCTACAAAAATACTGACTTTTCATAATTTTTATTTAATAGTTTCAAGATGAAATCAGTGATGAGTCCTCCTTCATCTATCCCTTTTTGAATAGTTTTCAATATCTTAAAAAAAAGTTTGTTACAAAATGAGGTATTCCAAATTCTATTTTTATCAAAAAATCAGTTTTATGGTTTAAATTCAAATTAAAAAAAATCTTGTTTTAATTCAAATAAGAACGATAATAAAACTATTTTAGGTCAACATTATTGGTATTTGAAAGAGTAAATGATAGTACACAAATTGATAAGGAAATTGTAGAAATAGTGATATAACTTGAATAATCAGGAATATGGAAAGAATTAAAATGATTGAGATGAAGAAAACAATGAGAAATGGGATAATAAGACGAAACAATGAAATTAAATAATAAAATATAAAGTAGTAACTGGAGGTTTACTTATAAAACGAAATAAGAGCAGACAGTACAATGATATAAAAACATTAATACAAATAACAATTTATGCAATACTGAAATGAAAATTATATAATAAAATTAACAAAACAAATTAATATATTACTTTTAATAACAAAATAAAAAGTACTTATTAATTAAATTAATAATTATTCTTTTTATTATTGTTATGGTATATAAAAAAAATATAATTAATAAATCAAAATAATTTTAATACATCGTAAATTATTTTTGAGGTGAGATACATATTTGATCAAATTCTCTTAAATAATATTCATTCCATATTCTATATTCAAAGACTTCAAATTTTGTTTCAATTTCATTATACTTATTTAATGTAGCATTTGTATTTATATAAACAGTTTTATTTTCTAATATATATTGGAAAAATGACATTCTTGTTGTACAAACATCATATCTTCTTCTTTCTTTTTCACAATTATAAAGAAATGTTCCTGTTGTTGGACAAACACTTTCTATAGCAAGATCTTTTATTAATAATGGAGTAAATTCAAATGCATTTGGATATTTCTTAATTAACATTACAACAATTTCTAAGAATTGAATAAAAATAGGTGAATTTTCTTTTGTTTGGTTTCTTAAACGAGATTGAAACTTATGTCCTAACATAATCCACTCATATTCGATCAAACCTAAAAATCCTTCTACAGTTCTGTGATAAGGGTCTAAACAAATTCTTGATAAAGATGAGATTTGTGGTGTTCTATCCCATCCATCACTACAATGAACTAATACTCTATTTCCACTTTTTAACAAATCACATGTTTTGCAAACACTTTCATTAATCGTTTGTAAAATATCAATCCATTCTCCAACACTAGTATAAAATTGTGACACTTCTTTTTTACTTCTATTTATTATGCCATTTATCATTTTTTGATATGCAGAAAATACAACATGTATATTGGGTAAATTTAAATGGTCAATAATACAATTTTTATAAGATCCACTACTTTCAGTCCCTCCTCCACTTAACCTATTTGCAACTGCATTTGCCATAGCTCTACAATCTAATACTATTAATACTGATTTATCATCTCTTCCATCACATCGAATATGGGTAATATAATTTTGGTCGTCAACACTTTCTGATTTCTTAAATACTCCAAATGCAAATGTGGTTGCGACTAATGGTTGTGATGACCTAAATAATGCTGCACCAGTCTTCTTATTATAATAAGTTACTAAAGGAATCCTTCCTTTTGATCTAAAACATGCTATATTTACCATCATTCTTTCATTCATTTCAATAGGTACAACAAGAACTGATGGATATGTTGGACATACTTTAAAATGAGCATTAACATCACTAATCATGTACATCTCTTCCATTCCTTGTCGTGACAACTCAACTATTGGATTATATATTCCATCAACTCGTTCATGGCTATTTCTAACATTTTCTCCATTTGCTGGTAATTTGTGTAGTGGTGATTCACCCCCATCTTCAAATCGTATTGAATGTAATGAATTCATAAATGATAATACTAATGGTTGTGAAGTGAATGTTAATTCAATAACTGGTGGTAAGTCAGGATGGTAAAACGGGTTCATGCTTAATACAATGCTTGTCCCATTAAGTGTCATAGATTCAATTAATTGAGTTTTGATTAAATACATATAATCCATTTTAATTTCTTGATTATTCATAAAATATGGCATTTGAAGAAACTGAGGAATAAACATAAATCGTTCTGATGTTAAATAAACCATTCCTTCTGTTGTTGTATTACCTATTTTTGCTTGTGAATGAAATACGTGATATTCATTAGGCATAGTTTGTATTTCAAAAACATGATTGTTGTCATAAAATTCACTAGACACAGTCAATTCTTTTCCACTTCTATTTAAATCATATCTATAACGTTGTTTAGTTTTATTACCTAAAGGTTCATATTCAGTGGTGATATAGTACTTTGTGTTTTCTGGTATCTCATATAAATTACGTATTTCTAATGGTTTGTCATCATCACTATATATTGTAACACTTCTTTTCCTAAAAACATCAATAGATGCCCATGTTAATTTTGGTCGTATCATGTCTAATCTAGTAGTAGTAAATTGTTGGGCTAGTGCATCTTTGGGAACATAAACGAACATCCTTTTTTTTTAATTTCTTTTATTTTTAGTTTTTTCTTTTTTTTTTAAGATCTTTTTTTCAACAGAGAGCACAACAAATCATATTTCACTTTCCTTTTATTTTATCAATCTCAATGAAAACAAATAATCACAAAGTCATTATCAAGTAGTATTTAATCTATTAATTTTCTAACTCGTTTACTCTAATGTCATCTCTTGATAACGCTTTTCATCAATACATATCTCAGTCAAGTCAGACAGAAATTGGTTATCCTTATGAATTACTCTTGGCTATCCAGATGCACTTTAATAAAAAAATGCCCCTCCAATTCATAGAAGAGGCATTAAGTAGAAATAAAAATGATTTGTATTTATCATTAAAAGATATCAATGAATCTTTAGATTCATTTCCTCCACTAAATCCTACAGAAGAATAAGTTAACTCTTTGTAAAATTTATTTTGAATTTTAAAAAATAAAAAATCAAAGAAAAAACTCAAAAAAGGTAATATGAAATCACTACATCATTTGATTACTGATGAAATTGATGATAATGATTATTTAAGAATTATATTTGATATTTCACATTCTTTTCAACGTGAAGAACTTGTAATTGTTCCACGAACAAAAGGTGGATTTTCATATGGATATGTTGATTCAATGAAACAAGAAAATCGATGTCCATTCAATTATAATTATGAACACAACTCAGTGTTTTGGGCAATTAAATTTTATCATACTGACACAAAAACATCTCGTAAAATAGTACCTGCATCAAAAATAGGTAAACTATCAAGTATTCCAAGAAAGCCAAATGGGGATGAGGGTGAGCTCAGTCCTGAGGAATATAGACATGTAGTATATGATGAAGAAGCTGTTCTTCAATCAACGACTGTCGTTTGCCCAAGTATTAATGGTGGGTTAATCTATTGTATTGGTGTTTTACCTAAGCCAATAAAATGTAAATGTGGAGACCATATGATTGATGGATTAATTGTTGAGAATGGTGTCCAAGAAATGGCATTTCCCTTAAGTACTGTTGGAGTTATATTAACTGAAGATTTAAGAAAACGAATTGTGATTGATGGTGCTGATGTTGCTTATTACAATAGCCATGGAAATACATTTGAAGTTAATCCTCTTCTCAATGCCATTGATTATTATGAAAAGAAAAATTATGAAGTGACAATTATTATTGATTCAAGGACCTTAAAAACTCTTAAGAAACAAAATACAACCCCTCCAAATAAAAGCTTAAATAAACTAATTAAAAAAAATATAATTACATCAACAAATACTTCTACAAGTAGTTATAGTATTGAATATGCTATTTCAAAACGTGCAGTTGTTTTATCAAATGAGAAACATCGAGACAAAA